TACAGTAGTATATATATATATATATAGACACATTTAACTTTTTGCGCTGATTGTACAGAACTGTACAATGTATTTAAAAAATTCTTTAATGGTAAACTGTCTTGTGGAAAATTACAAATGAGAATCAGGATGACTTGAGGAAGAACTACAGTTATACTTCTTATCCAGCCAGAACAATTCTTGTCCATACAACAACGATAGAAGTGTACGTACAAGTAATGTCAGATCACTGGATCTTGTGTTTGACACAGTCAGTGTGACCGTATCATTCAGTTTCTCCACTGTAGACGATTTGATGTGTAATGCTATCTGTTCTTCATTGTGATAGTCACATTATATATTCATTTAAAAAAATATTTGTAAAGGAAAGACCTTTTAAATATAAAGTATAATTAAACTTCCATTTTTTGTTAGGCCTGGTGGTTATGGCACTTGACTCTCAATCTGAGGGTTGTGGGTTTGAATCCCATCACTGAACCTACTCATCTTTTCAGCCATAACGGCATTATAATTGACAGTCAATCCCACTATTTGTTGGTAAAGAGTAGCCCAAGAATTGGTAGTGGGTGGTGTTGACTAGCTGTCTTCCCTCTAGTCTATCACTTTAAAAATTAAGGGCAGTAAGTTCTCGGGTAGCTTTATTCAAAATTCCACAAACACCCAAGCCATTTTTTGTTATGTTAACAATTCAAATAATAAAGAAATGTTGATGTATTTCGATAATATAAGCAGGAATAAGGAAGGGAAACCTTACTTAAATACATTATAAAAATGTTGATAATGAGTCCTGAGAAGAAAGTTTGTGAGCATAGATGACATATCTTTGTATGTATAGTTTCTTGAGATTAATGTATATGAACATGGTTTCCAGTTTATTGTGAATCATTTGAAAGTAAAAATAGTGTATATGGTTCTGAATAAAGCTGCAAGTTCGACAAAGTTTCTCTAGAAACTTCATTAAGTGAAACCCAGAATCCATCTTTAGTTAAATGTATCATGTGATTATTTTTAATATGGCTTTAACATTTTGAAAATAACCTTTAAAATCCTAATCCACTTTTGTTAAATCAAAAATTAATTTTTATTTGTACTTTTTGTTGTTTCAGGTGATATCAGACTTTGATCATACTATAACCCGCATTCATTATCAACAAAAGCCATGTAGCAGTACTTACAGTAAGTATTGTTTGCAATGTTAATCACCAGATAACTTGGCCTTTATACGGTTAAGTTACAAATTATTTAGTGATAGACTTCCCCCCCCCCACCCAAATAAACAACAACATTGTACCTGAAATCACAAAGTTTATGTTTTCTTTGTTTAAGTCACAAAGTTATGTTTTCTTTGTTTCAATCACAAAGTTATGTTTTCTTTGTTTCAA